AAAGTACAAGAGTTTATGAGGAGTTATGAAGATGCTACGAGCCGGCCTCACGGATATTTGATGCTGGATTTAAAGCCGACAACGAGTGACCAAGATCGACTCAAGACAAACGTACTTCCCGGCGAGATTGCAAAGTTTTTACACAAACAGTCGTATCGTCAACCACCACTTGCAAGCGCGATGTATGATGCCGAACACAGAATGAAAGAGATCATGGATGCACCACAGCTTAGCGCAGTGGAAAAAAGCAAATTATACTCTGATCAACTAAATCGGTTTTTAACATTCAAAAATAAGATGGATGTTCCGACTCAAGCTCCTGTTCAGACAACTCCATTCGTGCCTGCAGAGATGCCACAACACAATGAATCTGTCGAGATAGTACCACCAGTGCCTGCTACACCTAAACCTAATTTCCTTACACCACCACCAACAGAAGAGGAACGGCCAAAACTCAAGCGCAACTTTTTCCACAATTGGGTAGACTCTACAGATTGGAGGCCCCAAGATTTGGTAATGATGACCCCTGAACAAAGAGAAGGTTACGAACAAAGATTACTTCGCGAGAGGCCGAAATATATTCCAATGAAGAATGAAAATATTGCAAGGTTATCCCCGGAAGATAGACAAGAATATGAAAACTCTTTAAAAATAACAAAAACACCTAGACGTTACGCTCTTAGAAGTAGACCGTATTAAATTTTGTAAAACGTTTTGAAGAAATAAATTTAAAAACTGAAATATTGTGTAAATTTTTGCCGGCAAAGCCCGCTCTTTCCGCCAGCGCGATCCGCCCGCCTGATTAGTGTACAAATATGTTGTACGTTAATATATGCATGCACGCAAGCGTCGCTAATGACTTAGCAACAAATAACAACGTATATAACGATTACATGTTTTTATTGCAAAATATCTTACAACTGTTCCAATTCTAACTTATATTCTTGATAAGCTTACTTATGATCATCTTAACAGTATATATGTATGTATAATATAAATAACGTTGAACAACATGTAAATATTGACCTTAACAACGACGTTGACAACTCGGGATTAGGAACTGTTTAGTTTAAAATATGTCTAAAATATGTTTAAAATATGATTTTTGTGACGAATAGATTCCTTATTTGCCCTCGTTCGTTTTCGTTCATCATGAGGCAGTCATGTTGTCTTTGACTAGGATGACCGACTTGACAACCATTACAGGATTCCACACAAAGTCTTTCAACTTTTGGCTGCAAAGCGCTCCTGTCTTGTCTAAATCGCTTTCTCTCTTCCCGCACGGATAATTCGCGACGCCCGCGCAATGAATATCCTAATCTACCCGTATTTATCCACACAGTAGAAAAATGCAAATCTCTGATAAAAGTTAATCCTTTAATTAGTGTCACCCTAACAACACATAGCAACCGGTGTGCTTTAATATAGCTTAAATTTATTAACCTTATCCGAGTTTTAGAACTTTAAAAAACTAGCAATAAAATATAGAAATCGCTTGACAATTATATATCATAACTTCTAAGTTCCATGTGTTTATATAACTCTATATATTCTCTCGTATATAGACCTCATATGGCAGACCGGGATTTAAATATTAGCTTATTTGTAGATACATAACTCTTACCGCATGCTATTTCTCAGCGTTTTGATGCTTGATAATATATTACTTAACAACAAAACATATAGCTGTATACCCCGAATATATAAGTTATAGATATATAACACTAATGCTATTTCATATAGTATCAGATTTTTTACTCCTCTGGGAGCTAAATTAAAGGAATCACTTGACAATAACAGCAAAATGCCAGAGCTGCATCATAAACGTGGAGGGACGCTAAAAAATGCGTAGTCAGCAAGTTTTGTTCAATTTCGCCCGGACAGGCCCGCGTGACGTCACTACGCACCCTCATTTGTGCGGCCCCCTTAATTACCTACATATATAATGATGCGCCGGCCCCTTGCATAGTAATTACCTGCATATATAATGTGCGGCCCCCTTGCATAGTAATTACCTGCATATATAATGATGCGGCGCCCCACGCCGCCCCGCGCCGCCCCACACACCACCACCACCACCACCACACACCACCACCGCCGCAAAAATCCGGCCCGATCGGCCCCTATATTACTACTGTCAAGGTGGTTTTAGAGTTGCTTTTAAAGCTTCTTGCTTAACATATCTGGATGCTTTCAATGGTAAATCGTGGGTAGTTAAAAAGTTTCTGCCAAAAACTCTTGAAGCAGTGCAAGATCTAGGTCAAACTCCAGAAGAGCATGCCAGGCGTGTTGTGCAAATGCATTGTTAGTTCGTTATTTTGCACAACAATTTGCTGAGCGAATTGCAAAGGCAGCTGCAACCATTAGATTTGGAGAAAGTTTTGTTTTTAAAAAGTCTACCTTGGTCATAGAGTAAAGATTGAATAGAGAGGCCACTCGTGTCGGAACCTTTGAAGTTTTTGTCCTCGCGCATGTCGCCTCGCGCATGTTGGCCGCCATTTTGCGGGCGAGTCGATTTCTCACAAACAATAGTGCGTAGACTAGAAAATACATACATGCAGGAACCCTTGCCTTGCTGACAAACCATTGTATTTTCCGAACATGAAGTATCTAAAGTAGTTGTCATGGTAACACGATAATTTTTTAAGAATATTCTTACAAATGAAAAATCGCCTAAAAATATCACTTTTAATTAGAAAATGATCAATTTCCCAACATATATATGTTAGGTATGTTATTATACGTAATATAAGCTTCAATTTAAGGTAAAATTCAACCACAAACCCTTCGCAAAACGTTTTAAAGTGTTCTTTATAAAACTAAACTGCCTTTAATTAAATCGCTTTATCGATAAACTTTGAGTTTGCAATAAAATGATTTCAAATTCTCGCATGTAAATAACTTTGCTTTCTTTTTTATTTATTGACTTAAAAAATTCAATATAATATTAAAGACACACTGAAATTATATGCTGTCTTGTTTAGTTGTTTCCTATATGGGCAAAGGCCGTCGAATTTTAAACCATTATAAAATCAATATTTAAAACAAACTTACCTTCGGCTCCCTTCTTTTAGCCGATTTTTTCGCCCTTTCTTTCTGAGAAAGCTTTTGAAATTTACAAAATCTTGCAAAAATGCGAGCAAAAATGAAATATATTTGCAACAAATTTATCAATCATCAAATCAAGAAATGTTTGCTATTTCGCTGTCGTCATGCAGTCATTATAATGCCAACTTTAAATTGGGCCAATCAGTGACCGCTATTCATGACAGTCTGCCATATTTTTGAGATCAGTGAGGATGACCACCCATCGTTGGTCACCCACGCCCGCGATAATTGATGAACTTTAGACTTCGCTAATGCTTTCATTTCCCCGAATGTAAATAGCCGGGGGGAATTAGTATTCTCGCACGACGCTTTGCGCCGTCGGCTCGGGGATAAGGGGTGACAGTGAATATGGGCCCATATGGCTCAATTATCCCCGAGCCGACGGCGCGAAGCGCCGTGTGAGGGTACAAATTCCCCCCCGGCTATTTACACCCGGGGAAACGAAAGCAATCGAGAAGTCTAAAGTTCATCAAATAACGCGGGCGCATGGCTCACCGTTCATCGTTCATGGGTGGTCATCCTCACTGAACTCATAAATATGGCGGACTGTCATGAATAGCGGACACTGATTGGTCCAGTTTAAAGTTTGCATTATAACGACTGCATGACGACAGCGAAATAGCAAATATTTCTTGATTTGATGATTGATAAATTTTTTGCTCGCATTTTTGCAAGATTTTGTAAATTTCAAAACTTTTCTCATAAAGAAAGGGCGAAAGAATAAGCTAAAAGCAGGGAGCCGACGTAAACGAAGTTAAGTTTGTTTTAAATATTGATTTTATAATGGATTTAAAACCCGACGGCCTTTGCGTATATGAAACAACTATTAAATCAAGACAGCATATAATTTCAGTATATCTTTAATATTGATTCCCTTTTTTATTATATTGAATTTTTTAAATAAAAAAGAAAGCAAAGTTATTTGTAAGCGAGAATTTGAAATCATTTTATTGCAAACTCAGAGTTTATCGATAAAGCCATTTAATTAAAGGCAGTTTAATTTTATAAAGATCATTTTAATTAAAACGTTTTGCGAAGCGTTTGTGGTTGAATTTTACCTTAATTAAATTGAAGCTTATATTACGTACAATAACATATCTAACATATATATGTTGGGAAATTGATAATTTTGTAATTAAAAGTGATATATTTAGGCGATTTGTAAGAATATTCTTAAAAAATTATCGTGTTACCATGACAACTACTCTAGATACTTCATGTTCGGAAAATGCAATGGTTTTAACAGCAAGGCGAGGGTTTCTGCACGCATGTATTTTCTAGTATATATATGGCCTCAAATTCAAAAATTATCCTTGAAATCGGAAAATATGAGGTAAGTAATTGTTTTTACCTTTGTTATGGCATTATTTAACCATTTTTAAAGCCAAATTTTGATATTTTATTGTGTGACTATGGAGCCACCGAAGGCCTGTCCTGGCGTATGCCTGATGTTGTCTAAATAAGTTCAGTGATTTTCTTCTGTTTGAGATAAAATGTTGAAAAGAGTTTAATATAATGTATTGCTTTCGATTTCCGTCGTTACCAGATTATCCTTGACAGGTTTTACAACCGAATAAAGCACCAAGTTTATACCCGTATATTTGTGCGTATTGTTTGTAGTGTATTGTGCTGACACATTCAGTTCAAAATCCAACAGTGATCTTGTTTGTAACACTAAAACCGATTTTTAAAAATCTGGACAATCTCAGTAGTTTCTCGATATTATGTAACCAGTTAGTCTCTTGACTGTCTTAATAGTAAACACTGTGGTATTAATTTATTAATATTCTACAGGTTTTTGCTTTTCTTCTATCTTCATAATTATTTTCAAGTCTGATTAGTTTTCTGTTGACATCTGAACCAACTACATGCCATTTATAAACCAGTTCTAGTTTCATGAACAACCAAAAAGTTCTGCATATGTTGAACCTGTGAATTTGAAATGAAATTTTCAGTTAGAACAATAAATCAACAATCGGTTAATTATGATACTAGTCAGGGCACAGTATGTATATATAATGGATGGCTCGTAATAGTGCAGACACCATCACACATCAAGACTTGTTATTTTTATTACGAGAGAACTTTGCTTAAGGAAATTAAGGATTCAACAATAAGCAAAAGTTTTATTCTTTGGACATATAAAGTCGTTTTATACACAAAACAATGTACAGTCTTGTGAAGGTTTCCCAACCTTAATAGAGCCGGCTCAGACCGCTCCACTCCTCGCTCCTTCAACGGCCTTTTACAAGCGAGCAATATTAATTTAATTAAGCACTCTTACCAAAACAGATATTTCCACTAACCTTTTATGTATAAGCTTTAGCCGTAGAGAGAAGATTGGCCGGTTCGTTTAAAAATTATAGCGATTTTAGTGGCAAGGATTTTAGGATACTCGTGACTATTATGGGTCTGCAAATTTGGACATTAATTTTGAACAATTTTATTCGTTGATGATAATGATGATAACAATATTTAATCAGGCCATATCAAACTTTCGTAACGTTTGAGTCAACTCGTGTCCGGTACCCCGCGCACAATGAATGACGCGCAATAATATGACACTTAATATATGTAAACAAGATGGCGCCACAGTGAATGGCGCAAAATCGACCTAAGCAAAGTAGCGAACTTATACGTTTTGCCGAAAAGTACACTCCTAGGCCTTCGTCCAAATGCTCCAAAACGTCCGCAAACGATAATAATCTTAATAAATCTAGCTTATCCATTTCAGTTTCATTATAGCAGCTATATAGTTACACTGTATGTCGAGTTCTGGGTTTCCACCTTTAGCATGCACGTTTGAAAGCTAGCAGCGTGAAGAGAATTAAATAATATTTGTCTTAAATGCTTGAATTAAGCGTCTGCTATTTCGTGACACCTCGTATGCCACTCTCCAGAAGGGTGTTATTGACAATAGAGACCTTAAGATTGACGTTTACGGCAAACGTCAAACCGCTAGTGAGGTTTTTGATTTTACAACTCTTTTATAATAGCTTTTACACCAGTTTTGAAATATGTTAAACTTATTAAACTTGTGCTCTTTAGCAATGATTTA